TGGCTCACTGCAGCCTCAACCTTCTCAGCTTCAGGTGATCCTCCCACCTCAGCCTCCTAAGTAGCTAGGACTACAGGCATGTACCACCATGCCCAGCTAATTTTTGTATTTGTATTATAGTCAGGGTTTCACCATGTTGTCCAGGCTGGTCTTTAACTCCTGAACTCAAGCAATCTGCCTGCCTTGGCCTCCCAAAGTGCTGGAAATACAGGTGTGAGCCACCACACCCAACCCCAGCCATTTTTTTTTTTTAATGGGACAGGGTCTCACTTTATTGCCCACATTGGACTTGAACTCCTGACCTCAAGTAATTCTGCTGCTTCAGCCTCCCAAAGTGCTAGGATTACAGGTGTGAGAGCCACCACACCCAGCTCCCCACCATATTTTTTAAATCACAATATCACAACAGTTTAAGACAAAATAAAAATGTTATTAGTCATTTATTTTGTTCATATAACAAAACCCTATGATACATTTAAGTGCATTTCTTCACGTTTCTTTTTGAATCATACATTTTGAGGTTTAATATTCATAATATTCACCTGGCGCAGTGGCTCACACATGTAATTTTAGCACTTTGGGAGGCCGAGGTGGGCAGATCACAAGGTCAGGAGTTTGAGACCAGCCGAACCAACATGATGAAACCCCATCTTTACTAAAAATGTAAAAATTAGCCTGGCATGGTGGCGAGTGCCATTGTAGTTCACTGTAACCTTGAACTTCTTTGCTTAAGCAATGCTCCCACCTCAGCCTCCTGAGCAACCAGGGCTACAGGTGTGCACCACCATGCCTGGCAAATTTTGTTTTTAATATTTCATAGAGACAGGGTCTTGCTGTGTTGCCCAGGATGGCATCAAACTCCTGGCCTCAAGTGATTCTCCCACCTCAGCCTCCCAAAGTGCTGGGATCACAGGTGTGAGCTGCCACACCTGGCCAAGATGGAGTATTTCTCTAACCTCATCCAACAGAGTTTATTATTTAGTTTATCTTCTTTGGTTATATGTATTTTAAATCACATTTTGTGTCAGCTATTGCTTCTCTCTAGAAACATATTTTTAAGTTGTTCTCATCTTCTCTAATACCATGGAATTTTAGCTGAGTTTTGGTCACATGTAAATTTAATAACATTGCATAATAAGATTTTCCTTTTATAGTATATTAGTTGTATTATGCCCATGTTTTCCAGCAGGTTTTTTTTTTTTTTTTTTTTTTTTTTTTTTTTTTTTTTTTTTTTTTTTTTTTTTTTTTTTTTTTTTCCATGAAATTTGTTAGTCTTCTAGGCAGTATACTGTTTCTACAGTAGGTGGCAGCAATTTCAAATTTCAGATTTATACCATATTAAGGGAGAGCAAATATTAATGCTGGGGCTTTTTTCCCTTTTAAAACTTTTCGACTCTAGGAATGATTGGACCTGCCATATTCTTGGTAGCTGCTGGCTTCATTGGCTGTGATTATTCTTTAGCCGTTGCTTTCCTAACTATATCAACAACACTGGGAGGCTTTTGCTCTTCTGGATTTAGCATCAACCATCTGGATATTGCTCCTTCGTGAGTACTAATATAAAGATTTGCTGTGATTTATTTTAAATTATTATTTTAAAAAATTATAAGTAACGTAAAATTGGTTCAGCAGCCATCCAGCCAGAAGAAGGTGGTAAGCCACCCACTCCATTTAATGAATCTGAAAAGTAGCGCCGGGCGCAGTGGCTCACGCCTATAATCCCAGCACTCTGGGAGGCTGAGGTGAGCAGATCACCTGAGGTCAGGAGTTCGAAACCAGCCTGACCAATATGGTGAAACCGTCTTTAAAAAGAAAGAAAAGTAGCTTAAGATTTATCAGGTTCCTGAAGTCTTGTCAGAATCTCTGGAATCTGATGAGGGCCTCCCAGCCTGCTCTCTTGAACTGTCAATGAAAGAAAATTGGATCATCAGATAAAAATTAGAGCTACTGTCACCGGGTGCAATGTCTCACGCCTGTAATCCCAGCACTTTGGGAGACTAAGGAGGGCAGATCCCCTGAGGTTAGGAGTTCAAGTCTAGCCTGGCCAACATGATGAAACCCTTTCTCTACTAAAAATACAAAATTAGCCAGGCGGGGTGGCAGGCGACTGTAATCCTAGCTGCTAGGGAGGATGAGACACAAGAATCACTTGAACTTGGGAGGTGGAGGTTACAGTGAGCCATTGCACTCCAGCCTGGGCAACAAGAGTGAAAGTCCATCTCAAAAAAAAAATTAGAGCTATTGTCAAAAGATGAAAATAGGTACTGAAGAAAAAAAATTAAAAAACAAATATTCATGGTATCTACCTTACAAGATCATTGTGAGGATTAAATAGAGCACACACACAACCCTTTGCTCATAATGCAACAAATGTATTTGCATATAACGCAGTAAATATAATTATTATTTTCTGGCTAACTTTGAGTCAGGTGTGGTGACCAGGGTCACAGATCAATCCAAGTAAAATATTAAAGTGATGATTGGTGTGCTTTCAGAAAAGAAAATGCTGACCACTAAAGAGCCACCACTGGGTCACTAGAGCCAAAATGACAAAACGGTCTAATTTCTCAACATCATTTTTAGCCTGATACAATAAAGAAAATATAAATTTGATATGGATAGTCAGGACTTCAGCCAGGTCTCCTATGATAGATACCCTTTGGACAAGGTAGAGAGATATGAATTGGATGTACAATTAGATAAATTTATCACTACTGAAGTTCAGTATAATAGCATGCTGATTCATTGAGAAGCACTGTGCCAGGCACTGTACCAGATGTTGAAGACACAAACATGAAAGTAACATGATTCCTGCGTGCATCTGTGTAAGCATAAGCTGGCCTGAAGGATGATGGGTCATGTCATGAAGTGTATGCTGGACAGGCAGCAGGTGGGATCCTATGCCTCAGCTTTAAGCATCAGGTGGGTGGTTGAACTCTACATCTTAAAGACCCAGGTCCAACCCTGAAATTTTATGAGTCTCATAAGTTAAAAAAGGCATTTATCTAGATATCATATGAAGCTAAACAGTTTTAGCAACATAAATGATACAAGCAAATAGTTGTAGCAGTTAGGAGGATGGTAAGCAAGTGCCTTTATGCCTCAGGTAATGAGGGCTGCTGTACTTGCTCTCTGAGACACAGCTATTCAAATGTAAGTAGGTCGGGCACGGGAGATGGCAGTAAGCAGAGAGCACTACTGCACTCCAGCCTGGGCTACAGAGCAAGGCTCAGTCTCAAAAAAAAGTAAGTTAATCTGATCAAAGTCAAAAATTTTTTCTAATGATTTTTTTAAGATGAAGTTTCACTCTTGTCCAGGCTGGAGTCCAGTGGTAAAATCTCAACTCACTGCAACCTCTGCCTCCCAGGTTCAAGCAATTCTCCTGCCTCAGCCTCCCAAGTAGCTGGGATTACAGGCATGAGCCACCACGCCTGGCTAATTTTGCATTTTTAGTAGAGACAGGTTTTCTCCATGTTGGTCAGGCTAGTCTCAAACTCCTGACCTCAGGTGATCTTGGCCTCCCAAAGTGCTGGGATTACAGGGGTGAGCCACCACACCCAGCCCAAAGTCAAAATTATTAATCTCCGTGTGTGTGTGTGTATTTTTTTAAACTTTGCAGTTCTAGTTAAAAGGAACGCTCCCTTATATTTTGATTCAGCCCTTCAGATCAGCTTTCTAGTTTTTCTTTTCCAACTGGAATTTCTTGGTTCAAAGCACACCAGTTTTTCCTAGTTCCCAGAGTCTTGGCTACCTATCTTGTTGGGGGTTACATATCTTATGTTTTTCTTAGTTGCTCTTTGTCGTGGTAACAACTAAGTGCCCATTCAGTGTAACACTCTGCTAGTTAGAACAGGAGCACTTGAGGACCATAAACAATTCAACACCAGGGCTTGTGGTGAAAAACCAAGCATGAGAAAATTTATCTTTCCTATGGACTGGGTTCAGTGAGTACTGTGTTTGTGTTTTTGTTTTTGTTTTTTTTAACAAGATAGCATTGTAGATTATAACATTATAATATTAAGTACTGATTTAGAATCAGACAAATTGGGTGACATTTTATTGTTTTTCTTTATCTATAAAATGAAGATAATCTGTCTGGGTGCAGTGGCTCATGCCTGTAATCCCAAGACTTTGGAAGGCTAAGACTGGGAGGATCTTTTGGGACTAGCAGTTTGAGACCAGTCTAGGCAATATAGCAAGACCCTGCCTCTAAAAATACAAATAAAATTTTTAAATTAACACAATTAAATGGGCCAGGCATGGTGGCTCATGCCTGTAATCCCAGCAATTTGGGAGGCTGAGGCGGGCAGATCACGAGGTCAGGAGTTCAAGACCAGCCTGACCAACATGGTGAAACCTGGTCTCTACTAAAAATACAAAAAAATTAGCCAGGCGTGGTGGCATGCACCTGTAATCCCAGCTACTCAGGAGGCCGAGGCAAGGGAATTGCTCAGCTCACTGCAACCTCCACCTCTTGGGTTCAAGCGATTCTCCTGCCTCCCCAGTAGCTGGGACTATAGGCATGTGCCACAATGCCTGGCTAACTGTTTTATATTTTTAGTAGGGATGGCGTTTCACCATGTTGGTCAGGCTGGTCTCAAACTCCTGACCTCAGGTGATTCACGCGCCTCGGCCTCCCAAAGTGCTGGGATTACAGGCATGAGCCACCGTGCCCAGCCTCAAAATAGAGATTTTCTATGGTAATTTTGTTATCCGGATCATAGGAATTAGATAGATTTTCAGCTATTAATTCCAATAGTACTCTAACAGCACAGAATCCAGACTGAGTCCATGCAACCTGTTTTATTCCAAGCAGTCATCAATCTTTCATGGCCAAGTGAAATATAAGTACTTGAATGAATTTCTTGGTGCTGACATTTAGAATTTCACGGCATTCGTCTGCACTTAATATCTGTCACTGGAAATGCTGGCAGCATTGCAGTTGGTTCCTCTTACTGCCAAGGTGTTAATGGTTTAAAAAAAAAAAAAAAAAGGCAGGCTCTGCCAAGCTTGGTTAATTTAAGATACACTCCCTAAAGGGGATAAGCCAAAAAGATCTGTGCCTCGTGGTTTTGTTATGGTGCTGTGTATGCAAGAGTTTTGAACATAAAAATGTGTGATCTTTATATATAACTGAATTCGTTAAGCAGAATTTTTTATTTAGACATCTTTCCATCCCAAATGGGGAGCAGTTTCAGATAAGTAGTCTACAACTGAGGATCCAAAATTCTAATAGAAATTGGGTTATTCCACATTGACAATATGAATTAATAAAATATCAAGCTTCTTTAATTTTGACTGGAATTGTATTTTATAATACTACTAATTATCTCACAAAACATTTAAAGCTCTAATTGGACTTTATATGTCTAAGTGATTTTTATGAAAAAGTAATAAATGCCATTTAGTTGCTTAACTAAGTTTTTTTTTTAACTGAACTCCTCTACCACCTTTAAGGTTTTTTTACCAAAAATACTAAATCTAAATCTAAATCTAATGAACCCCCTAGGATCTAGAGTCTAGCCACTATCAGTATACAGGAAATACAGGAGGTATAAGATTACGTGAAATGATACCTGAGAGATACCATCTTCAAAGTCCAGAATTCATGACTATATATAGGACACACATCCAAGTAAAAATACAGCAGTTTTAGGCCAGGCACAGTGGCTCATGCCTGTAACCCCAGCACTTTGGGAGTCCAAGGCAGGCAGATCGCGTGAGGTCAGGAGTTCGAGACCAGCCTGACCAACATGGTAAACCCCGACTCTACTAAAAATACAAAATTAGCCAGGCATGATGGCACATGCCTGTAATCCAAGCTGCTGGGGAGGCCGAGGCAGGAGAATCGCTTGAACCCAGGAGGTGGAGGTTGCAGTGAGCCTAGATCACACCATGCACTCCAGCCTGGGCAACAACAGTGAAACTACATCTCAAAAAAAAAAAAAAAGAGAGAGACAGCAATTTTAAAAATAAATTATCAGGCCAAGTGCAGAGGCTCACACCTGTAATCCCAGCACTTGGGGAGGCCGAGGCGGGTGGATCACCGGAGGTCAGGAGTTCGAGACCAGCCTGACCAACATGGCGAAACCCCATCTCTATTAAAAATATATATATCTACAAAAAATTAGCTGGACGAGGTGGCAGTCACCTGCAATCCAGCTACTTGGGAGGCTGAGACAGGAGAATTGGGAGGCTGAGAAAGGAGAATTGTTTGAACTTGGGAACTTGGGAGGTGGAGGTTGCAGTGAGGCACGATTGTGCCACTGCACTCTGCCGGGTGACAGAGCGAGACTCTATCTCAATCAATCAATCAATCAATCAATGGCCGGGCACAGTGGCACACACCTGTAATCCAAGCACTTTGGGAGGCCAAGATAAGCGGATCACTTGAGATCAGGAGTTCAAGTCCAGCCTGGCCAACATGGTGAAACCTCATCTCGACTAAAATTACAAAAAGTAGCTGGGTGTGGTGGCGGGTACCTGTAGTCACAGCTACTTGGGAGGCTGAGGCAGGAGAATCGCTTGAACCCAGGAGGCAGAGGTTGCAATGAGCCAAGATCATGCCACTGCACTCCAGCCTTGGTGACAGAGTGAGACTCTGTCCCAAAAAAAAAAATTATTAATACACACAACAGTTTGGAATAATAGTACCCCTAGCATGTAATCCAAAATGTTACATTCTGTATTATTCTGTTCATATAAAATTCCTGATCAGGAATTGTCACTCTTTGGAGCAGTGCGCTACAGGAGTTCTAGTCTGTATGGAAAAATCTCCAGTGGTCTGTGCAGTCAGAGCCCCATGGTTCAGTGCATAGGGCCTAGATTAGTGTGAGTCACACGATACCTCTCTTTAGTCAGCATATATTGAATGAGCACACGTGTTGTACTGGGCACTGAATATAATGAAGGGAAATAAAACATGCCTCTTCAATGAGATCATGGAGTCAGAATTAACGAATTTGAATTAGAGGACTTATATCTTAAAACACATAATACTAGCTTAAAGGACAATAAACATTCTGAGAGGACAGCTTCACTATGAGCTGATCAAGACAGACAGCTTCATGGAAGAAGCACCAAACAAGTGGTTAGGATGGAAGGTGAGTGGAGTTCAGGCAGCAGGTACAGTGTTAGTAAAGATAAGTAGCAGGAATTAACATGACAGATGTGAGCAGCTGGAATGAGAGCTGTCTGGATCTGAAGGAGTGATTGCACAGTGCTAGGAAATAAGGCTGTGTAGATGGACCAAGGCCAGGCCACTGTAAATCAGGCAGAAGATTGCGGTCTTCTGAAAGTAAGAGTTAAACCATCCTAGTAGGTTTTTTGGTAGAGAGGGGTGACCTGACTATTCAGATGAAGGCTTATACAGTTTGAGAGGTAGTTCAACCACATGGAAAATGTCCTTAAAAATGTGTATACCAGTAGGTTCTAGTTCTTGATCAGATGCTAGTGACATGGTTGTGTTCACTTTGTGAAAATTCAGCAAGCGGTACACTGATGGTTTGTACACTTTTCCATGTGTATTTTACACTCAAATGAATTGTTTTAGTATATCTGATAGAGTGTGAGGGAGCTCACGGTTGACATGTTATATGTATACATCTGTGAACCAATGGATAATAAGGGAAATAATAGGCCAGGCATAGTGGCTCACACCTGTAATCCCAGCACTTTGGGAGGCCAACGTGGGCAGATCACCTGAGGCCAGGAGTTCAAGACCAGCCTGGCCAACATGGCAAAACACCATCTCTACTAAAAATACAAAAAATTAGCTGGGCATGGTGGTGGGTGCCTGTAATCCCAGCTACTCAGGAGGCTGAGGAAGGGAAAATTGCTTGAACCTGAAAGGCAGAGGCTGCAGTAAGTCAAGATCGTGCCCTTGCACTCCAGCCTGGGCAACAGAGAGAGACTCCATCTCAAAAAAAATAAAAAGAAATAAAAATGCATCACTAACTTGCCCAAGGTCACATAGATTGTTAATGGTGGAGCTGAGTCGGGAATCTCAATTTCCTGATAATCAGTTTAATATGACTTTTTAATAGAAAATGATAGGTATTTCATTCCTTTTTATGACGGTACTTACTCAAGATCTTGGCTAAGGTAACATTTCTTATTCTACATACATTCCTTATATAGTAAAGAAATCAATAGGTTATTAGTATTTTCCAAATACAGGCAAAAATTCTGTAAAGATTTGCATGTAGACGTAGAGAGGACTATCCCATTCCCTATGATTCACTTAAAATAAATCATTGCATTTGAGAAACTTTTTCCAAACTTATTTAAAATGCCCTTTTTATTCATACCCATACACACAATGTAGACCCAACTTGTCTTCTTTTAGGACAGCACACAGTAATTTACCTATAAGCACATGTGTAAGTAATGGAACAAGTAAATTGTATGTTTGATATGATCTCATGTCTATAATAATATACTAAAAATATATAGAGATAGAAAAAATATTAGGATATTTATGAAAATGTTAATGTTGATTATCTCTATAAGGAAGAATTAAAGGAATTTTATTTCCTTATTGTTTTTCTTTTATTAATTTTCAAAAATTAATTACAATTGAATTTTCAAATCAGGAAAGAAATTCTTTAACCTAAAAAACTTCAGGCTAGACATGTCAAACTGTCTGTATGAAAATGAGATCTCAGAACTTTCTCCTACATCATTATAAAAGGGATTATTTCAATGGCTGTGTTCCTCTATGTAATGTTAAAATGCTACTTAACTATTGAAATGCAGGTTTTTCACCAGCTGAATATGAAATCCCATTTCAATAAGACATTTTATTTAGACATAAAATTTCACAGGAACACAACCTGAGAGCAGAATAGCTGTCTACTGAAGGAAGCGGCCATGTGCGGTGGCTCACACTTGTAATCCCAGCACTTTGGGAGGCTGAAGCAGGCAGATCACTTGAGGTCAGGAGCTCAAGACCAGCCTGGCCAGCATGGTGAAACCCCAGTTCTACTAAAAATACAAAATTAGCTGGGCATGGTGGTGCATGCCTATAGTCCCAGCTACTTGGGAAGCTAAGGCACACTTGAACCCAGGAGGCAGAGGCTGCAGTGAGCCAAGAATCTGCCACTGCACTCCAGCCTGGGTGACAGAGTGAGACTCTGTCTCAAAGAGAAAAGAAAGAAGCTGTTTAAATGTATAACACAATAATAAACTTCTATGAAAATGTTTCTACAGGTATGCTGGTATCCTCCTGGGCATCACAAATACATTTGCCACTATTCCAGGAATGGTTGGGCCTGTCATTGCTAAAAGTTTGACCCCTGAGGTAAGTAGATAATTTACTTATAAACTGAAAGGGTTTTGGAACTGCACATCTGAGTCAAAGTTCAGTGTATTTTCATTAAGAGTAAAATTATAAATGTTTTTATGAAATTCTTTATAGCAACAAAAAAATAAATGCCTTACTAGATGAGAAAGTGTATTTTCGAAGAACACTTTTTAGATTTTAGACAAAACAGTAGAACTAAGTCAAATGAAGATCTTGCCGCTGAAACTACACCAGTAAAGTTGTGATATTATACCAGACAAGTAATTTTTGTCTTTGATTTGAACAAATAAAAATTGGCAATGTAAAATTATTTAAAAAGTGAGCCCATGAAGGTGAGGTATCAGGAAATCATGTGAGAATTAATGAGGAAAAGTTGAAATAACCAAGAATGTTTAGAGGGCCAGAAAACTCAGGAAGACATAAAAGGTGTCTGCATATATTTGAAGGGCTACTAAATGTTAAGATGGAGACTTATTCTCAGCAGATCCACAAAGACAGATTGAGAGAAGTTATGAGGAGACATTAGGAAGATTCTTTGTTCAAAGCTGTTACTTTATGGAATGAGCCACCTTAAGGGTTAGTAACCCCTGAAACAAGCAAACACTTATTCAACAGGCATTTCTTAGGTGCTTATTAATATGCTAGATATATGGCAGGGTAAGGTGGCTCATGCCTGTAATCCCAGCATTTTTGGAGGCTGAGGCAGGCGGCAGATCACCCCAGGTCAGGAGTTTGAGGCCAGCTTGGCTAACATGGTGAAACCCCATTTCTACTAAAAATATAAAAAATTAGCCAGGCTGGTGGCACGTGCCTGCAATCCCAGCTACTCAGGAGGCTGAGGCAGGAGAATCGCTTGAACCTGGGAGGTGGAGGTTGCAGTAAGCCGAGATCGCATCATAGCACTCCAACCTGGGCAACAAGAGCGAAACTCCAGCTCAAAAAATAAATAAATAACATGCTAGATACTGAGGACTGAAAAACAAAACAGCAAGCTGCTTCTACACTTAAGAAACTTACCATTTGGAAATTTTCTGTAATCAAATTGTTAAAGTACAGTGTGACATGTGCTGCAGGAAAAATGTGTGTGGGGAGTGCTTGGTAAGTGAGGAGGGAATAGCCTCTCTGTTCCTGGGGAAGGAGCCCACAAGAGTGAGCCAGGTGGTGTGGTAGGCTGGGCACACCAGCCTGTGCAAGAGCACCAAGCCTTTATGGGGATGGTGGGCCCAGGGTTGGTAGCCCTGAAACTGAAAGGCAACACAGGCCAGATCTGTAAGCAGAGCATTTTGTTTTTGTTTTTGTTTTTTGGCACTAAGTCTTGCTCTGCCGCCCAGGCTGGAGTGCAGTGGCACCATCTCGGCTCACTACAACCTCCGCCTCCTGGGTTCAAGCAATTCTCCTGCCTCAGCCTTCCATGCAGAGCATATTTAAAAGGTCACCTTCACTATGTAAGAAATAAAAATAAATTGCCAGGCACAGCGGCTTATGCCTGTAACCTCAGCACTTTGGGAGCCGAGATGGGCAGATCACCTGAGGTCAGGAGTTCGAGAACAGCCTGGCCAACATGGTGAAACCCCATTGGGTTTCTACTAAAAATACAAAAAATTAGCTGGGCATGGTGACTTGAGCCTATAATCCCAGCTACTTGGAAGGCTGAGGCAAGAGAATCACTTGAACTTAAGAGGTGGAGGTTGCAGTGAGCCAAGATTATACCATTGTACTCCAGCCTGGGAGAAAAGAGTGAAGCTCTGTCTCAAAAAATAAATAAATAAATAAATAAAAATGACCTCAAAGGCCCCTTTCAACTTTAATTTTCTACCATTCAAAAAAAGGTATGTATATAAGATATTCTTTAAGAGGCTAACTCAAGCCTCTAGAAGAGGTAATTTTCTGTTTTGTCTCTGTGATCAAATTAACACCATGTATAATCCTTAAAATTTCAGGACATACTTACAGACTTTACCAAATATACTGATTTCATACATACATGTGTTCCCACAGATAGTGTACCTGTTTCTTCTCCACATCCACCATTTCTAATTCCTTAAGTGACATAGTACCTCCATGTTACTATTTTCTTTCACTTAATAAAAAGGAACGTTGTAGAAATGTTTTTTCTAATTATATTTTTAGGTATGTGGGAGGCTGAGGCAGGAGAATCATTTGAACCTAGGAGGCTGGTCTCAATATAGACACATCCAAAATGTTTAACCTTGTCCTTATGAAGCAGGGTGGCAACACCAGAACCTAAATCAGCATACTACCATGTGTTCATTTCACTTACTAATAATGCCAGCACTTCTGCTAGGGAAATATGGATTCCTGAAGCAAAGTCTTGTATGTTTACAAGGGGGAACTGAGCTCGATTTGGGATATGTTATAGCATTTGTTTAATGCTATTAAAAGGATATCACTGTTTAGCTGGGTGTGGTTCAAATCTGTAGTCCCAGCTACTTAGGAGGCTGAGGCAGGAGGATGCATGAGCCGAGGGGTTTGAACCTGCAGTGAGCTATGATCATGTCTCTGCACTCTAGCCTTGGTGACAGCGGGAGACCCTGTCTCAAAAAAATAAATAAAGCTTACTTTATATTATTTATTTATTTTCGAGATGGAGTTACACTCTGTTGCCCAGGCTAGAGTACAGTGGTGCAGTCTCAGCTCCACCTCCCAAGTTCAAGCAATTCTCCTGCCTCAGCCTCTCGAGCAGCTGGGACTGTAGGCACCCACCACCACGCCAGGCTAATTTTTGTTTTTGTTGTTTTTGTTTTTGTTTTGAGATGGAGTCTCACTCTGTTGTGCAGGCTGGAATGTAGTGGCATGATCTCGGCTCCCTGTAACCTTCACCTCCTGGGTTCAAATGATTCTCCTGCCTCAGCCTCCCACATACCTAAAAATATAAAAATTAGTGTGCCACCATACCCAGCTAATTTTTGTATTTTTAGTAGAAACGGGGTTTCACCATGTTGGCCAGCCTGGTCTCAAACTCCTGACCTCAAGTGATCCGCCTGCCTCAGCCTCCTAAAGTGCTGGAATTGCAAGTGTTAGCAACCATGCCCAGCCTGTAATTTCTTACTTTATGGAATAGGCACTGCCTCAAAAACTTTACGGAATGAGTCAGCATATAAATAAATAATGCAATAATTAAAATTCAAAGTGTGTCTGAGGTTCAACATTGTTATAAACAAAACAGTATTCTCTAAAAACTGGTAGAATTTTTGTTAAAAAACAAACCAGGAGCTGTGTGAGACTTCTAGTACAATGATTGATTTTAAGTTCACTCATTGCCTTCAGATAACACTGAAGTATTCTTTTATCCCAGAGACCACACAGGCAGCTTTGTCTTGGTAATCCTAAGAAGCTGTTTCAAACATTTCTTTCTGGTATAAGATGTAATTATTGACGGATTCCTCACCAAAAGTTAAGATGAGTATCTAAGTTTTTTTTTTTTTCACTAAAATACATTCATCTCAGATGAGTATAACCACCACAGGGCGTTCCTTTCTTCATGTTTCTCCTTTCTTCCCAAATAAATGATCTCATACTGGCTTCCCAGTGCCTGCTCTTTCACTTCCTCACTGCTAGTTCTGCTGCTTGTTTGTTTGGGGGTTTTGTTTGTTTTTTTGAGACACGCTCTCACTCTGTTGCCCAGGCTAGAGTGCAGTGGCGCACTCATGGCTCACTGCAGCCTCAACTGCCCCAGGCTCAGGTGATCCTCTCACCCCAGCCTCCTAAGTAGCTGGGACTGCAGGTGTGCGCCACCATGTCTGGCTAATTTTTTTTTTTTTTTTTTTTAGAGATGGGGTTTCACCACCTTCCCCAGGCTGGTCTCAAACTCCTGAACTCAAGGTATCCACCTACCTCAGCCTCCCAAAGTGCTGGGATTACAGGTGTGAGCCATCATGCCTGGCCTACTTGTTTTTTGTTTTTTTTAATGCTGCAAATGTAGTCACTCTGGTTAGACTGAAATCAGAAATTTAGATAACCGTCTGATATTTTTATGCCACAGGGATACACACTGAACAGTTGTCTTATGACAGATCCCATGTATGTCCTGCTTTGTGTGCCACTCAAGATCTTTTACACTTGCTACGATGTCCCAGATCCTCAACGCTGCACTTGAGTTCATCTTAACCATATTTACTTGATCCACCTGACACCTTTCACTTAAGAACTTGGGAGACCGTGCACAGGCAAACACTTTCTTAGTGTTAGTTAGTGTCATTCAGGCAGGATGGAGGGACATGCCCGTACACTTTTTATTGAAGTATGTCTGTCTATCCTCGGTAAACTTTTTATTGAAGTATAACTTTTTTTTAAATGTACAAATCCAAGCCAGGTGTGATGGTTCAAATCTGTAATACCATCACTGTGGAAGGCCGAGGCAAGCAGATCGCTTGAACCCAGAAGTTCAAGACCAGCCTGGGCAACATGGTGAAACCCTATCTCTACTAAAATATGTATATATTAACTGGGCATGGTAGCATGCACCTCTAATCCCAGCTCCTTGGAAGGCTGTGTTGGGAGGACTGCCTCAGCCCAGGAAGTGGAGGCTGCAGTGAGCCAAGATTGCACACTATTCCAGCCTGGGTGACAGAGTGAGACTCTGTCTCAAAAATAAAACCAAAAATAAATAAATGTGCAAATCTAAAGTGTACAGCTAGATGGATTTCCACAAAGTTAATACATCTGTGTAGCCCGGCGCAGTGGCTCACGCCTGTAATCCCAGCACTTTGGGAGGCCGAGGTGGGTGAATCACAAGGTCAGGAGTTCAAGACCAGCCTGGCCAAGATGTTGAGACCCGCTCTCTACTAAAAATACAAAAATTAGCCGGGCACGGTGGCATGTGCCTGTGATCTCAGCTACTCAGGAGGCTGAGGCAGGGAATTGCTTAGCCGAGATTGTGCCACTGCACTCCAGTCTGGGTGACAGAGCAAGACTCCAGCTCAAAAAAAAAAATTTTTTTTAATACATCTATGTAGCCAGCACCCAGTCAAGAAACAGAATCTTACCTCCCTCAGTAAGCCCCCAGGTACCTCTTCCTGCTATTTTTTCTTCACCCTCACCAAGAGAAACCACTCTCCCGACTTTTAACCCCATAGATGAATATGGTCTGACTTTGTGCTTTATATTCATGGAATCATTCAGTATGTGCTCTTTTTGTCTGGTTTCTTTTGCTTCACATTTTGTTTGTGAGCTGTATTTATGATGTTGTAGCCCATTCTCATTGCTGTGTCATATTCCATTGAGCAGATATACCACAATCCTACCGCTGGTGGATATCTGGGTTGTTTCAAGGATAAGGCTTTTATGAATAACGTTGCTGTTTTAACAGTCTTGTGACACTACCTTTTTAGTGAACTACAAACAAAATTTCACTTCACTTGCATTTCTTTTCTTTTCTTTTCTTTTCTTATAGAACACTGTTGGAGAATGGCAAACCGTGTTCTATATTGCTGCAGTTATTAACATTTTTGGTGCCATTTTCTTTACACTATTCGGCAAAGGCGAAGTACAAAGCTGGGCTCTCAATGATCACCATGGACATAGACACTGAAGGAACCAATAAAAAATCCTGCCTCTATTGATGTATTTTTATGTATCAGGTAACCTCAAAGTGCCTTCAGTATTTTATTGTGTAAGCATTCTCTGTTTTTTTAATTGTATTAGATTTTTAAGACCTATAATCATGAAATGTCACTAGTTGCCAGATTAATAAAATGAACTATGTTTAATTATGAATAATATATATGCTAGGACTTCTACTGTAGGTTCACATACCTGCCTGCAAGTTGGGCAACACGAAGTAGGAGAGTTCTATTGATTTTTTAGGGCCATACTTAAGGGAATGAGCTGAAACAGACCTCCTAACCTTGGCTTAATGACACTAGTTGATAATTCTCAGGTATTGATAAACACCTGTTTTTGTCCACTTTCCTCATAAAAATTGTCGGCTCTGACACTTAGATCTCAAACTTTAGCAACTCCGTGGAGCTGCCAGCCACCGTATAATTTGGCCTGGCAACCGTACTGAGGGGAGTGTGCCCAGGCAGCTGCCAAGCACTCCCTCCTTGGCTTCAGGGCCAGAGTGCCCAGCATTTATCAGAGGCAGCATCCAAGCTCAGAGCCCGTGTTCACTCTTCGGCTGGTGCCTTTCCTCTGAGGGGCTATTAATGTGTAAATAAAGTCTTGAGAAGGCAGGAGCAGTGAGATCCACTGCTGTGGTCTTGATGCCTCCTCAAATTTTCCCTTCCCAGCACAGAGGAATATCGGCTGCATGCAGCCTGCAAAAGAAAAATCTGATGTGCAGTCAATCACAAATAAGATCATACTGGTTTAAATCTACTCTCACATGGACCACACTATAAATGTCTAAGTGCTGTGTTTTGTTTGTTGGTATTTTGTAAAGACAGGGTCTCACTTTGTTGCCCAGGCTGGTTTTGAACTCCCAGCTTCAAGCCATCCTCCTGCCTCGGCCTCACAAAGTGTTGGGACCACAGGCATGAGATACTGTGCCCAGCCTGTTCCGTGGTTTTTAAGCTGCACGAGAATTGTTTTTTAAATTAACTCTCACTGTTTGTTCAGTCTGTCTTCATCTAAATTTGCAGTTGCAGTTTAAAGTAAAAGACCACATCACCTGAGACTAGGGTCGTCATCTTTACTTCTGGTTCCTGAAATCATATTTTTCCAGTGGACCATCCTCCAGTGGTTGTAGTTGTTGAGCATGCTTTCAGAGCACCTATGTGATTTAAAACTTAGTTTATAAGGGCCGGGCGCGGTGGCTCACGCCTTTAATCCCAGCACTTTGGGAGGCCGAGGCGGGTGGATCACGAGGTCAAGAGATCGAGACCATCCTGGTCAACATGGTGAAACCCCGTCTCTACTAAAAATACAAAAATTCAGCTGGGCATGGTGGCGTGTGCCTGTAATCCCAGCTTCTCAGGAGGCTGAGACAGGAGAATTGCCTGAACCCAGGAGGCGGAGGTTGCGGTGAGCCGAGATCGCGCCATTGCACTCCAGCCTGGGTAACAAGAGCGAAACTCCATCTCAAAAAAATAAAATAAAATAAAATAAAACTTAGTTTATGTTTTGTGTTCAACACTACCTGTAATGTTTTAATTAAAACTGTTTAATGTGACTTGAATAATTTATGTAAATTCATTTTTAAATTTGTAAATAGCTTTAAATTGCTATGGCAATGTTTCTTTTATAAATCATCAAAATAAACCTTTCTGAATTACTTTTTGGGTCTGACAGTTCTGTGATATTTCCTAGTGTCCATAGTGACCATTTGACATTTTTTCTGCATCCTGTTCAAGCTACCACAAAGCTGAGGAACTTGGGCCTCCTAAGGGATACAGCATCAGGAATTTCTGTTGCCATCAACATGCCAAGAAGGATTCATTCAAGAAGGATGAATAGGGTCCATCCTTCTTCCTACAGCATATGCCCACACCACACTGATTATCTCTCTCCCACCTCCTCTAAGGACTTGCTTCAGTAATTCTTCTTTTTGTAAATAATTGAGCTAGAGTCTTGCTTTGTTGCCCAAGCTGGGCTCAAGCGATCCTCCTGCCTCAGCCTCCCAAGTAGCTAGCACTACACAGGCATGTGCTATCATGCCCAGTTAGTAGTTCCTCTATCATTTACTTCTTCAGACTCTCCCCTTGTTCTTTCCCTTCTGTCACAGAGATGCACACGTCTTCTCTAGTCCTTAAATAAAAATACAAAAGTCTCCTGGGGACATTAAATCATAAGTGTACAGAATATCTCTAAGATAACACTCAAACTAGTAAAGATAGTGTGATGATTGATAGACAGATAGAGATTTTCATTCATGGTACTTGGTTCCTGGCTCTTAACTCCCATAGCTCCTGTTATAATGTTGGGCCCCTTTAGGCCTCAGAAGCAGCCTCAGCAAACAGAATCTCTCTGATCCTCTCCTGCCCTTCTTTCACCTGCTGCTTTTTCTCCCAAAGCAGGAATCTTCCCCCATTCTGTCTTGGAACTGGTCATAAAGAAGTTCTTGGCCAGGCACGGTGGCTCATGCCTGTGATCCCAGCATTTTGGGAGGCCAAGGCAGGTGGATCACAAGGTTAGGAGTTCGAGACAAGTTTGGCCAACATAGTGAAACCCTGTCTCTACTGAAAATGAAAAAATTAGCTGAACATGGTGGTGGGCACCTGTGATCCCAGCTACTCTGGAGGCTAAGGCAGGAGAACAGCTTGAACCTGGGAGGCAGAGGTTACAGTGAGCTGAGATCGCACCACTGTACTACGGCCCATGCAACAGTGCAAGACTCCATCTCAAAAAAAAAAAAAAAATTCTGGCCAGGTGCAGTGGCTCATGCTTGTAATCCCAGCACTTTAAGAGGCCAAGGTGGGCAGATCACGAGGTCAGGAGATCAAGACCATCCCAGCTAACAAGGTGAAACCCTGTCTCTAATAAAAAAAATATATACAAAAAATTAGCTGGGCATGGTGGCACATACCTGTAGTGCCAGCTACTCAGGAGGCTGAGGCAGGAGAATAACTTGAACCCAGCAGGCAGAGGTTGCAGTGAGCTGAGATCGTGCCACTGTACTCCAGGCTGGGTAACAGAGTGAGACTCGGTCTCAAAAAAAAAAAAAAATTCTGTGGTCTACCTTGTTGGATTGTAGGTTACAAGACCCCATGCCCGCATTTGAGAAGAGGTCCTCTTCATATCCTGGAGGAAGAAATGCTGCCAAGAAGAATCTGGATAGGACTTGCTGGGTTTCCCTGTGAGTCTATTAGTATTAGATCATACCCTTTCTGTTCAATCACATTTCTATATGGTTGTTAATCATGACTATCCAAATGAAGTCTCCATATAAGGCCTAATAAGACAGGGTTGGGGAGCCTCCTGAGAGCTGAACACACGGAGGTTCCTGGAGGGTGGCATGCCCAGAGAGGGCATGGAAGCTCCTCATCCCTTCCCCCAGACATTGCCATATGCATCTCTTCATCCGTGTCCTTGGTAATATCCTTTTTTTTTTCTGAGACAGAGTCTTGCTCTGTTGCCCAGGCTGGAGTGCAGTGGCATGATCTCAGCTCACTGCAACCTCTGCCTCCCAGGTTCAAGTGATTCTCCTACCTCAGCCTCCAGAGTATCCGGGATTACAGGCACACACCACCACACCTGGCTAATTTTAGTATTTTTATTATAGACGAGGTTTCACCATATTGGCCAGGCTGGTCTCGAACTCGTGACCTCAGATGATCCACATGCCTCAGCCTCCCAAAGTATGGGATTACAGGCATGAGCCACTGTACCCAGCCTATAATATCCTGTACAATAAACCGATAAATGTGTTTTCCTGAGTTCTTTGAACCACTCTAGCAAATTGATTGAACTAAAAAAGGCAATTGTGAAAACCTCAGCTTGAAGCCAGTAGGTCAGAAGTTCCAGAAGCCTAGACTTGGGACTGATGTCTGCAGTGGTGGGCAATCTTGGGGACTGGGCCTTCAGCCTGTGGGGTCTGATGCTGCCTCCCGGTAGACAGTGTCAGCACTGAATTGGGGGACACCCAGCTGGTGTCTGTTACAGAACTGATTGCTTAGTTGCTATGTGGGGAAAAACTCAGAACCATTTAATCACAGAAATCTTCTGTGTTTATTGTTGTTGAATGAGAAACTAGCAAAAAACAGTTTCAGTGGATTTTTCCACAAACAGTGGTTACCTCTGGAGAGAAAACATCGGCAACTAGGGATAGGAAGGAGAATTAATTTTCACTTTACCAAATGTGGCAGTCCAACCTATTCAAATAAATATATTGTTTTATTTTCTTTTATTTTTTTCAGATGGAATCTTGTTCTGTTGCCCAGGCTGGAGTGCAGCAGCGCGATCTCAGCTCACTGCAACCTCTGCCTCCCAGGTTCAAGAGATTCTCCTGCCTCGGCCTCCCAAGTAGCTGGGACTACAGGCATATGCCACCACACCAGGCTAATTTTTGTATTTTTAGTAGGGACGGGGTTTCACCATGTTGGCCAGGCTGGTCTCAAACTCTTGACCTCAGGTGATCCGGCTGCCTCGGCCTCCCAAGGTGCTAGGATTACCGTGCCCAGCCAAATATATTCTTTTAAAAACAAAAGACCTATTGCCCAAGCTGTTGTGTAATCACTGCTAAGTTTTCACCTGCCGGCTATCCTTCCTTGCACCTGAGACTATTTAAATCCAACCTCACTCGTGCAGCCCCATTCTTAACGAAACTGGCTCTTCCTGTCACCTTCTTATTTCTGTTAAAAATACATTTTCCCAGTCACTTAGGCTTGGCCCCGAGTCATTTTTGTCCCTCCTTTCTAGCCTCCCACCAAACCCCCAACTCTGTGTCTAAACAACCACCTGCCTTTCCCATTCCAGTTTTTTTTAGGTTTCTGGAAGTTTTTGTTTGTTTTGAAACAGACTCTCACTCTGTCACCCAGGCTGGAGGGCAGTGCTTACTGCAGCCTCTACCTCGCAGGCTCAAGAGATCTTCCTACTTCAGCCTCCAGAGTAGGCAATAATATATTTGGCTGGGTACAGTAATCCTAGCACTTTGGGAAGCCAAGGTGGGCAGATCACCAAGGTCAGGAGTTCAAGACCAGCCTGGCCAATATAGTGAAACCCCATCTACTAAAAGTGCAGTGGCACCAGCTACACTACCATGCCCAGCTAATTTTTGTCTTTTGTGGAGATGGGGCTTCACTATGTTGTCCAGTCTAGTCTCCTGGGTTCAAGTGATCCTCCCACCTCTGCCTTTCAAAGTGCTGGGATTACAGATGTGAGCTTCCATGTCCGGCCTGGAATTTTTTTTTCTTAATCCTTCTGCCAGGCCAGGCACAGTGCCTCACACCTGTAATCCCAATACTTTGGAAGACCAAGGTGGGTAGAGCCCAGGAGTTTGAGACCAGCTTAGGCAACGTGGTGAAACCTGGTCTCTACAAAAAATACAAAAAATTAGCCGGACATGGTGGTGCATGTCTGTAGTCCCAATACACAGGAGGCTGACTTGAGCCCAGGAGTTCAAGGCTGTAGTGAGCTGAGATCCCACTGTACTCCAGTCTGGGTGACAGAGTGAGACCCTTTCTCAAAAAAAAAAAAAAAAATCCCTCTGTCATCTCCTAAGTAAGAGCCTAGTGGCTTTTGTTTCCACCTAGAATAGAAAAGTGAAGTGCTATCACTGCCTTTAGTCTTGTCCTCTTCTGTCCCAGCTGCCCCTCAGTGTTGAGTTCATCATCCCAACACAACTAATCTCTCTGATCAAGGTGCTCCCCCATGGTGAGGCCCGTGGCT